CCCTCTCACGATGATGGGAAGTCTTGTGGTTGTAGTAAGTCCATCCAAAGGAGGTGGGGGTAGAGGTCTCAAAGGGTCGTCCTCTCACAGCGACCAAACCATTTGAAACAAACAAAGAGAAGGTGGTCTATCTCCCCATAATCCAAGACTCTCGATGTCTGTATCTCCTCCAGTCCTGATACCAGCGATGGCCGAGGATTAGATCAAAAAAGTAAGGCAGAGCCACTGGACAAAGTATTTAGGGTTAAATAATCAGGGTAATCTTGGGGGAATAGGTGGTAAATAAAGCTGCAGATCGATCTAAGATTGCAAGTTAACGCTGAGTGGTCATAATAGATCTAGATCTGATAAAGGAGAGAGGGACAGTTGAGGGGGAGAGTAAGTCATCATCTCCAGTTTGTAATCCTCAATCCCTATCCATCACCTTGCTCAGGCTACTTAGTTCAATTAGTTTAATAAGTCCTCAGAGTTTCAAGAAAGAGGAGTGCAACAGATCCCTAGAGGTTGAAGGGATCTAACATTTATAGCCTTTGCAGCATTGCCCTCTCCTCTATTAACAACGAGGGCTTCCTTGCAGCCTCCTGGTGTTGCTGTCGCCGTCGCTGCCATTAGCGCCATTCCCATGATAGCAGTGTCCCAATATTTGAGGAGCTTTCACAGAGAGGAGTGGGACAACCTATTTTCCAAGGACCTGAAGGTCAGATAAGAAACAATGGATGGAAACTGATCAAGGGGAGATTCAACCTAGAAATAAGAAGAGATTTTTCTTATTTTCGCCTTCATTTGTGAGAGATTTTCTGACAGTGAGAACAATCAGCCAATGGAACAGCTTGCCTTCGGAAGCTGTGGGTGCTTTATCACTGCAGGCTTTCAAGAAGAGATGGGACAGCCAATTGTCAGAAATGGTGTAGGGTCTCCTGCTTGGGCAGAGGGTTGGACTAGATGACCTATAAGGTCCCTTCCAATTCTGTTATTGTGTATTCTGTAAACTGGAACTGTTTCAACTGATGCAGGCATTAAAAAGCTCTCCTTCTAATTTGATACATATACAGATTGAAAGAAGCAGTGAAGTATAGGTAGACTTTATTTAGGAACTGCCAAATTTTGTAACTGTTGGCAATTATGACAGTGATGAAAAAACAACTATGACCAACCCGCACATTAACAACCCTAAGATCTGTACAGCAAAGAAAAGTTGAAGTATGATCATATGTACAGTCATGATTTCATTTAGTGAGCACTCCACTTAACAACCAAGTGGCCAGTTCTAATTATGGTCACTAAATGAATGTTATTTGTATTATAAAAACACCTGCAAGATGTAACAGAAAATGCAAGTATAATTCTGACTACAGACAGTAAAGCCTGGGAAAGGATGTATTAGCACGTAAAAAAATCTTATTTATAAAAAGGAGTATGTGAATCCTAAACCTAATCCTGAGAATTTAATAATCTAATCTGGGTCAAAATTAGCCCAAACTGAGGTCCTTCCTGGAAGTGGTCCTGCTGGAACCCACAGCAACCATATCTACAAAAGAAGGTGGACTCCCTTTAACTGAATTATTATCATTTTAAAAAATCATTATTCTCAAAGCACTAATCACTCCTTGAAGAAGCAAAGAATTAAGCTTTCAATTGATATTTCCGAAACACCCTTGACTATAAAAATAATCTCGAAAGATTAACACTGCACCAAACCCCAAATGCTAGCCAAATTCAGCTGTTATAAAGGGAATCAAATTCACAAGGGCTCCAAATGAAAAACAAACTTCGTGTTGTCCTTGAAAAATGCTGAATGTACAGCACCATAGCAACAGTACAGTTCGCATCCAAGTAGCTATGCAACTATACCAACCTCTGTGAATCTCCTGAGGTCTAGTAGAAAAATTCCCACTTTGACAACAGAGAAGAAGGGAAACATGTCATTATCACCTTAATCATATAGTTATCCTATGGGCAATATGATGATCATTTTACCATTGTTCAGAGATACCAAAAATGAGCCAAAGGATCCTACTCTTTTCTCCCATTATGTCATTATTAACTCTGAACAATCCTTGTGCAAGCATGGACCAGGCTGAAACATTTTGTTAATCTATAATCTGGTTTGCCCACTTTTGTTTCAGCTACCAAATGCAAAACCTCTGTTTCCAGCACTCATCACACTTCTTAAAGCCTTGGCTATAGTTTCAGATCCCCTTCTGGATTTGCTACCAAATTGTGATTTTGAATATGACAGAAAGATGAAACTAATGCATGCTAAGCAATGAAATTATCTGGCTCTTTATCAATTAAATTTTATCTATATACTTAAATCTGCCCAGGCCTTTCCCATATTTTGAAGTGGGTTTTTCTGCCTGCCATTCAAGAATTGTCTCTCTCCAGCCTCAAGTGTTATATAAGAATCCTATCAAGAAAGCAAACTGTGGTTTACAAAAAAATAATAAATGAATTTGTTAAACTACCCCTCTTTTCCTAAATAACTCATTACGGCTTTGCATTATGTTTGAAATAAGTTTTGGCATTTTAGATCAGTACTGGGAAAACATTCCTGCATCTGGCAGACAACAAAATGACCAGGTTCTAAATAAGCCTGGTAAATAAAAAAGCAATTTCCTATGTGCCAGATGTTGCAACAGTATCAATGCTGATAAAAAGAGCTAAGTAAGACTTCAACAACACTCTTCCAAACACTTCAATTTAAATGAACTCAATGTTATTATGAAATGCAAGATGAGAAACTGAAGGCAACATAGTATCTTGCATCAGGGAGTCTACTGAGAGATCTGAACAAGACCATTTGCACACCCGCACAGTGTCTTAAAGATGATGGATTGCAGGTAAATATTTGTGTGACTTCTATATGGCACTTTTGTACTGGTATGGATCTCCACTTAATATTCCTCACAACAGCAAATCCTTACAGTCATGAAGGTCATTATATGTCTTGCTTTAGCCAATTTCAGAGGATTACTCAAGAATGAAACTGGAGAACTGGCAAATTACACTTTTGCCTCCCTTGAAGACTGCAAATATAAATGCAATAAATAAAATCTAGAAAAGCAGCATATTGGTGCAGCAAGAATACATTCAAATTCTTAATGCTTTGTTTACCAGGTATTTGACGGCATGATCTAGAACCCTGCTAGTAATTCACTTGTAATGAAAAGCAACATTGGAACCACAGAGGAATTAAATAACAGCAGCTCAGTCCCTTAATTCTCCCCTCCCCTATAATAGGCCAAAAACTGAACAACAACGCGCTTGTCCACCCCATCTCCTGATGGCAACAAAGCAACAGTGGCTGTAGCAGAACCATTCCTTTCATAACCTCAGCTCTTCAGCCTTTTTCTCTCTGGGTGTATGTCCTGAGACACACCAGAAAAGCATTTGCAAAGCCACTGTTATAATCATGATATGTGGAAAGCACTAACTAATCTCTGGTCTGAGACTAGAGTTTGGGTCAAAGATGCATAGGGGGTTCCCATGTTTGACCCCAAGAGTTCAGAACTCTTCTGTGGCTATCTTCCTCTCTTCCAATTCTCCCATTAGCCATCTCTCTCTAACCCAGGGATGGGAATATTTTCTGTAAAGGTGTAAAGGCAGCCTATGGAAACTTCTCCCTATTTGCCAGAAAAAAAGAGACACTGTCTATTCTAGGTAAATAAGAGCCCCCCCTCCCCCCCCAGCCTGAGGGAGGAGGTGAGGAGTTCCCAGTTGGGAAAGGGGTGATTCATAGGTTTCCCTGCTGCAGTGCCACTGGTCCATGACTTAGCAAATTGAAACATCTCTCCCCACCAGTCTGATGGCAGGAGTCCTTTGGCAGACGGAAGAAATGAGATCCTGGAGGTATCTTCGCCCACGAACTTTGGAAGGAAGCCCAGCCCAGGGCCAACCCACTGCCTTTCCCTAGCTTCTGAACATGTGGGATGAGCAGCCGGCTTTGTGAGGCTTCCCCACGCCAGCCTTCCCCTTGGATAAACGATTGCTCTCTTGTTTTGAAGGCCACTTGAGGTTAACCGCCAAAAACCGCCTCCGACCATAGGCAGGTTGTGACTTGAGTCGCCCCAGGTCCGGACGGAAAGCTCAAGGCTTCCAAAGCAAAGGCGGCTCACTTCTCCATACCAGGGAGAGCCGGCGTGTTTCATTTTCGGAGCACGGACCGCTCGAGTCAAAGATGGTTGGATGGCTCAGGGCGCAGCTTCCCGAGCAACAGCATTGCGGAGAGGCTCGCTCCCCGGCTGCTTCCCTCACCCCCCCCCCGTCCCTACAAACCACCTACCCCTCTACCGCAATAGGGAAGCTCCCGAGGCGCTCGGTTCTTCCTTTCTCTCGCCCGCATCCCTGACACGGTGACTCACCAGGAGAAGGCTGGAGACCAACGCGGCTCCTCGGGTGGCCTTGCGGAAGGCGGCGGCGGCGGAAGCCCCCATGGCCGTCGCTGGGTGCGGGGAAAGATGCTTTCTGCGCGGGCGGAGGCCGTTACGAAGCCATGGAGGCCGAGAGCTGAGAAGGGCGCGCCTTGCCCACCGCCGGAAGAGCTGCCCATCTAGCAGCCCCGCTGCCCCATTGCCGGGCAGGGGATGGGCAAGGGAGGACTCGGGGAAGGGCAGGGCGGGAAGGGCAGGGGGCTGGCGGGGGTTTAGCAAAGGGCAGTCCCCCCGGCACGAGGGAACGCTGGCCCCACCGGGCTCCGGGGCCAGCCGTGCAGCTCCTTGGCGGTAGGAGCCGAAAGACACAGGAGGAGGACTGCGCTCAGCAGGAGAAACGGCCGGCTTCCCATAGCGACTGGGGGCGGCGGGAGACCCTACTCCCACCTACCTCGCTCCTCAGCCTGTTTCGAATGACCAGAAGGGCGGGGAAACGTCTGTGCCCAAGGCAGCCGGTGGGCGGGAAGAGAGGCGGCGAGAGCGCACATGGGCCGAGAAGGAGAGGCGGGGCTTTCTTTTGTTACATCATCTTTTCAGAAAGACTGCCCCGCCCCGTCCTGCCCAGCCCAGCCCAGCCCAAAAACCTTTCGTCGGACTCGAAACTACTTTAAGAAGAGTAATGTACTCCATCTCCTTTTCCAGACTAGAGTCTTGTAAGTGACTGAGCTTGTCCGCAAAGGGGCTTTGGGTCAGATGCGATTAGCTCGATTCCACAGGAACAGGAATCGGGCACCCGCGCTCTCCCAGGTGTATTAGATTTGTGGGACTATAAATCAGCTTTGAATGGTAAGGATGGGACATCATCTTAATTTTGGGCACCAAAACCGGCTGTATGTTAAACTACAGCATCCATTTTCCTTGACCGTGAGCTACCGGTAAGCTGGCGAGTTGATCACAACTGAACAATTCTAGAGAGATCCCAGGGCTGTTCCAAAACCATGGACAGTCCTCTGTCTGTCTCTCTCTCTGTGTGTGTAAGAGAGAAAATCAGATTATATGTTATCTACTCCAATAAGTTTTTGTTTCCTTGAATTCTGTTCCCATAATGTTTATAATGAAAATTGCTACTTTGCATTAGCATATATAAATTGTGCAAAGGGGTTTCACATGATTGAGGAAGAAAGGTCTATAATCATTCTCTCCTATGCTCTGAAAATGCATAGATACGACATATGATAAAGATATATACAGGGAAAGATGCATGTGCAAATTTTCTTATATAGATGTTGTAAGTGAACTGCCACCACCATTCATAGAAACATATACCATATTAACATGTTTCATCCACCATTGTACCACATCGGACAATCCCAATGTGAATGTCAAGATATGGACCTGTCCACTTAATCCACGTGGACCCCTTCCCATGATTAATAAAAACACATCTTCAGGAACCAAATAAAAGATCTACTAGTCTAGTCTATATGTTGCACTGTATTGTATGGTAGCCCATTTGGCTTTTGATATTGTGTGACTCAGCCAGTTATAGCTCTTTCAGCAATATAAAGATTAAAGTAGTGGTTCTCAAACTGTGAGATGCGTGGGGGCCTAGTGGTAAAAACACTTGCTTCCCACTTGGAAGGTTGAGAGTTCAGGTGGCAGCAGATGTTTATCTCCTAGGACATAAAGAAAAAATATCTGCTGTGAACTTTGCATGGTGTTAGGAAGGGCATCTGGCCAGTAAACGCTCAGATCGATCGGATTGCCCCAACTCTACCCTGAGTTCAGGAATTGCAGGGTCATAAAAAGGGAGCTTTTAGTAGTGGTTCTCAAAGTGTTGTCTTGGGCAGGGGTGAAATGCTCCCGGTTTGGACCGGATCACGCGATCTGGTAGCGATGGCGGTGGGTGGTTCGGAGAACCGGTAGCAAAAATCCCTGCCTCCCCCCACTATGCCCAGCTGAGCCGCACGATCATCAAAGGCTTTTTTTTTTTACTTTTAAAAGAATTTTTTCTACAATCTCTGCTTTTAAAAGTAAAAAAAAAAAAGCCTCTGATGATCGCACGGCTCAGCTGGGATCGTCAGAGGCTTTTCAAAGCATTTTTTTCTGCAACCTCTTGGCCAAAGAGGTGGTTTAAAAAATGCTTTGAAAAATCTCTGACGATCCAAGCTGAGTTGCCTGATTGGCAGAGGCTTTTCAAAGCATTAGAAAAAATGCTTTGAAAAGTTAAAAAAAAAAGTTGGCCATGCCCACCCAGTCACATTACACCCCCACCACCAAGCCACACCCACAGAACTGGTAGTAACAAATTTTACATTTCACCCCTGGTCTGGGGCTCTCCAAAACCCTTTCAGCAGGTGAGCAGTGTCAACTACAGTATTTTAGAACTTTAAAATATTTTTGCAATTTTTCTAATGCAGTGAATATCAATAAATACACACTGAATAAAGCAAAGAGCTTTGGGGTCCTCACTCATTTTTAAGAATGCAAAAGGGTCCTCAGACCACAATATTTGAGAACCACTGAGTTAGAAAATCAGAATTTAACTCTCTAGTATTTTCATCATCATCAAAATTGTAAAAATAAAATAAACTGATAATTTCATATCTATCCACAGTTGGGAAACCATTCAAAGCTTATTTTCTAACTATCCTTCTGTGACCACTCAAAAGAAACCAAAACTACATACCGAGGCGGTGAAACTGATTTCCATCTATATACTATAAAACTCTGGTCTTTACCTGGACAACAATAATTTTTGAAGCAAACGAGCTAACTTATAAAATGTACCTAAGACGCAGAACCAATGACTCCTGGGAGAATGAAATTTGGGGAAGTTGTGGCTGTTCCAGTACTCACAAATGAAGACAAATATATGTGTCCCAGGATAATGTTGCAGGATCCAATCTGGATCGGTCACCAGGACCAGAGTTTAAGTCTTCCAAGCTTTTGGACTCGTGCTGGAGCTCATCTTCAGGAAACTTCTCTCTCACCAGTATTCAGTTCCAAATAGTTTAGATGCTTCACGGAGTGATGAAAGAATATTGTTCCTTCAATGCTGTCAGTGAAGGAGCTAACACTACTCATTTCCCAACACGATTCCTTAACTGAACTCTCTGGATTATCATCACATAAACTGAATTGAAGATAGACTCTCCCATTATTTTAATGAGTAACTTGGATCTTCCAAGGCTTGCAATGGAACACAAGTGATAGTGGGGAAACTCCACAAGAATCTTATTGTAACAAAGATATACATTGATCCATTCAAAAATGACCTTGTCATGATTCCAAGAATTAAGCTCAATTTATCAGAAGATGAAGATACCCCTCTTCAGTGGGCACAGTTTCCAATACAGTCGTACTTTGCTTTCACAAGGCAAAGACAAACCATGTAGATTATGCTGCTTTATCTGGAGAAACTGGTGTCCCAGCATGGTTAACTGCCTGACACTTTAAGTTGAGGAAATAATATTGTTATCAAAAGCATCTTTTGTTAAAAGGCATTTATATTTGTCTTGCTACAAATCTTTCTTTTTTAATAAAATGATGTTTTTTTTCTTTAATTTTAAAATCAAAACAATAACCATCAACCCATGGTGTTTCTGTTTCTCTGTTTAGGTATGGAAATATCTCTGAAAGATGACCCAGATCACAAGTTGTCTAGTTACCCGTTAAAATCTTCACAGCATTTCATTTTGAACAAACATCAAGTTGTTTTATTTTTTTGCATTTATTTATTTTGCAGGCTTTATATTTTGCATTCAGAAAGATGAGTGCTTCCTCTTCCTCCTCCTGAACAAGATAGTCAACTAAAAGTTGATACCATAGTTCTAAAGAGGTCTTCCCGTATTATTCCTTGGATAAAGCTGTTCCAAGGAAGAGCCCTTGAAAAACACGACTATTACTTTATTCTCCTGGTAAAAATTCTAGGCTTAAAGATGCAGGGTATTCCTGTTTGAAGGACTTTTATTATAAGAACAAATGGTACAAACATCTTCTATAATTAACATATGATTGACACTACACCCTCTGTCTGTTGGAACAGTTTTCAATTCCTTGCTGAAAATCTCCTTTCATTGCTAGGTTTTGGCAGCAAATTCAAAATCAAATTAGTTATGATGGTAGAACCACTTGCATTTCTTTAAAAAAAAATATGTTGAAATTATGGAAATGTATTAGTTTTGCAGTAGAAATATTAGACAAGATATAGTTTAATTAAAAGCAGCAATTTCAAGGCTGTAGGAAGTTCATCATCTCACCTGTTTAACAATTTTGGATTTTGAGTTGATCTTGATTTTTTTTATCTCTTCTGCTAGGATTGCTAATACATGTTATTCTATATTCTACCTCTGCCTTTAGTGTTTTAGCATGAACTATTTTTATACATTATGATTCTGATTTTCTATTGTTGGTAATAACTTTTAATAAATTAAAAATAAAGAAAAGAATAGGAATGTGCTAAGAAAAATTCATGGCCCTAACTAGATGATCTTATGCAAATATCTTCTTGCAAAATCTGTTCCTGTTTTACAAAGATTCAAGCAAGCAAGTAGCAATGCAAAGGAGAAGAGTTGTTTAGCATTTGCCCAGTCTTAGTCTGGAAAGTGTCATCCTTGACACTTTAATACCAGTTTTATTCTCTGTTGCTACTAATATTGCTGAATACAGAGGATTGTGCAAGGGACTATTGAAAGTATCTACTTTTTGCAAACTGTGTTCCTTTTTCCAACTAGACCTGTCTGCTAAACTCTTCAAGGACATGGATTGGTCTTATAATTTTACCACAAAAAGGAACTGATTCCTGTAATCAGCATTTTTCATCTGGTGTACATGGCATTAAGATTTTAAAAGATTGGGCCAAAATGTGGGCACAATTTTTTAGGAGGAGGAGGAACAAATCAAATAAGAGTGGCTCCTGGTTGAGCCAAATCTGTTCATCTTTCATGTTGCATGCATTGGTTTTCTGCACCTATATATCTACTGACCACTGGACCATTACATATAGCATTAGTTAGTGAAGGGACTCTGCACTTTCATCTCTTTCCCTAGTCTAAAATACTTACTTTGCATGCTACTCTATAATATGCCTTCTATTGGCTAGACCAGTGATGGTTAACCTTTTTGGTGCCGAGTGCCCAAAGCGTACGCATGTGAATGCACACACATGTGCCCAGACCCCCAAAATGCAATGTGAGTGCCCCCCATGAATGCACTCCACCCCTGCGCATGCTCCCCCCTGTGCATACTCCCCCATGCCCCATTTTAGTTTCCAGGTTGGTGCAGGAGGCTTTCCAGGCCCAAAACAGGGCATAGGGGGCCTTGCACGGCACCCCTGCACCCCGTTTTGGCTTCCAGGTTGGTGCAGGAGGCTTTCCAGGCCCAAAATGGGGTGCAGGTGGCCTTGTGTGGCCCTCCTGTGCCCCGTTTTGGCTTCCAGGTTGGTGCAGGAGGCTTTCCAGGCCCAAAATGGGGTGCAGGTGGCCTTGTGTGGCCCTCCTGTGCCCTGTTTTGGCTTCCAGGTTGGTGCAGGAGGCTTTCCAGGTCCAAAACAGGGCATAGGGGGCCTTGCACGGCACCCCTGCACTCCGTTTTGGCTTCCAGGTTGGTGCAGGATGGGGTGCACCAACAAAATGAGGTGCAGGGGGTCACGCAAACCCTCAGAATGCAATGCAAGCACCCCCCTGCATGCACTCCGCCCCCATGCATGTGTGGCAGAGACCCGAGGACCAGCTGGCTGACGGGAGGCATGCACGCATGTGTGGTGGAGCTGAGCTGAGGTGATGGCTGGCGTGACAGGCGACATGGCTCCGTGTGCCACTTCAGGTATGCGTGCCATAGGTTCGCTATCACGGGGCTAGACTGTTACTTTCAGGATTTTCATCATTCCCTTCCCCTCCAATAGTTTAAAACACCAATTAAAAAGGCACTTTTTCAACATCTTAATTGTCCTGCATATCCATATGAATAAAACACTTGAGAGACGCGGCCAAAATAATTTGAAAAGCTTCTCATCAATACCTGATGCTGACCTTCCTTACTAACTTTCCTAACGTTTTCTTAGGCCAGAGAAAAACTTCTATGATCCATCTGAGGTCATATATGCACTGGTCAGACCAGGGGTAAAATGCTCCCGGTTCGGACCGGATCGCCTGATCCGGTAGCAATGGAGGCAAGTGGTTTGGAGAACTGGTAGCAAAAATCCCTGCCCCCCCATGTCCAGCTGAACCGCGCAATCATCAGAGGCTTTTTTTAATTTTTAAAAGCATTTTTTCTACAACCTTTTTGGCCTAAAAATGCTTTTAAAAGTAAAAAAAAAAAAAAGCCTCTGATGATCGCGCGACTCAGCTGGGATCATCAGAGGCTTTTAAAAAGCATTTTTTCTACAACCTCTTCTGCCAAAGAGGTTATAGAAAATATGTTTTTAAAGGAAAAAAAGCCTCTGCCGATTAGGCAAGTCAGCTGGGATCATCAAAGGCTTTTAAAAGCATTTTTTTTACAACCTCTTCAGCCGAAGAGGTTGTAGAAAAAATGGTTTTAAATAAAAAAAAAAAGTTGGCCATGCCCACTCAGTCATATTACCCCCACCACCACCAAGCCACACCCACAGAACCGGTAGTAACAAATTTTACATTTCACCACTGGGTCAGACCCCAACTAGTGTGACCCTCTGGTCAGTCTGTCTACTCTAGCCTCTTTTAAAACAATCCACATTTGCTTCACTTACTGCAATCACTGGTAGCAAATTCCAGTTTAGCTGTCCACCATGTAAAAAAACGTTTCTTTCTATTTGTTCTGATTCTGCCTACATTTCATTAAAACAATGACATCACATATTTGAACACTGTTTCTGCATTACATCACATGTGATTTTAAATACCTCGATCATGTCTTCTCTGTATCAGTTCTGTTAAAACTTTAAACTGATTAGTTATTAATTCTATTGGTTGAATGAATAATTGATTGCTCTGGAGAAAATCTTACCTATGCATTCACTAAGAATTGATACTGACTGGATGACAAATAATCATCAATCATTAGTTAATCATTACAACAATATTTGAGTCTAGTGCTTTATAGGATAGTCAGATAATAAGCAAGATAATGGGGTATTTAGCATAGGTCATTAATAATTCCTAATTCTGAAGTCAGTTTTCTATTTCCTGAATTATAGGCAGTGTGCTATAAATACTGGATGATGGAAGGTGACAGTAGTAGAAGATGTATATTGCTGTCTAAACTGAGCTGTAATGGTTAATTTATGGTTCTATGTCTAGTGCAAACAAAATCAATTCAGTTACTTCAGTAAATCCGGTTTTTAAAGTATGGCTTAATGTGTTGTATGAATATAGCCTACAAAGAAATTGGGGAGTAAGGTTCAGTTTGTTATCTTGATATGATTTATTGGGCCAGAGATTTCTGTTTTTCTTCTAAAACCTTTTTGGAATTTCACATCAAACTAATATCTTTTCATTGTGTAAGATTTAATTGTTTAAGAGCTGTCACAGACAAGAGAGAGGCAATTTATTCACCATAGCACCTGAGGGCAGGACTAAAAGCAATGGGTGGAAACTCATCAAAGAGAGATCTAACCTAGAACTAAGGAGGAAATTCCTGACAGTGAGAACAATTCAATGGAACAGCTTGCCTTCCAGAGTCATGGGTGCTCCATTGCTGGAGTTTTTCAAAGAAAGGTTGGACAACCATTTGTCCAGCAGGGGGATGGAGTAGAAGACCTCCAAGCTCCCAGCTCTATGACTCTAAGGTTTATTTTTTTAGTTAGATATTGGAGATTCTTATCCAGAAGACCATACCATAAACTGAAAAGAATTTGTCCCAGGTTCATTACAGTTGTAAGAAGGTTTTTTGATATATATTTTTTATTTTTATTTAACCTTAAAACATAGAAGCAGCCATGATAACCACAGAAGGGAAGGGAAAATCAGAAATCCACATTAAGATAATACATTTTTTTGTTTTGTTTTTGCTTTGCTGCCTTCAAGTTAGTGTTGACTCCTGGCAATTGCCAGGACAAATCCTTGCAGGTTTTTTGGCAAAGTTTTTGGGATATGTTGTCATTATCTGCTTCCTAGAGCTGAGAGAAAGTGACTGATCCAAGGTCATCCTGCAGTCAGGGATATAACTCACAATCTTACAGTTTCTAGCCTGATGCTTTAATCACTACACCAAACTGGTTCTCAATACATTTATTAGGCCTCTTTATTTATTGGATATGAATGCTGCCAGATCCAAATAGACCCAAGGCACATTATAGAACAACCATTAAATCATTCATAGGGTAACATAAAACATAAACATTCATCATATAATTTAACGTATAAAATACTAAATACTTTTGAATACCTCCCTTACTTTTGCTGTTTAGGAGGCTCCATCCCACATCATATTAATATTATTTTCAAAAGAAACGTATTGGGATCTGGCATTTGTAAAACATCATGTCATAATGTACACATAATTTAATATGTTCCATTTGCATTTAAGAGAATAGAAATGATGTATGTCTCTACATCTAAGCTTGCTTTGGAAGGTTTCTCACCAGTTCCCAAAGAAGACTGATAAAAGGATATCT